TAGTAAATTTTACCACACTATAAACATTATTAGTATAAAAAATAAACACAATCATTTGTGTAATTTAGAAACAATAGAATTATTGCCAAAACATTTAAGGTTTCACAATTAATTTTAGATAAAGTTAAAGACTATACTGTTGTTAGTTAATTAAGTGCCAAACAACAATATAATCTTTTTATAAAAGAATTTTCTAAACAATTAAAAAAAAAAAATTAGTATAATACTATTAGCAAGTTTAGAGGTGTAAGTAGTATTCCAACCTGAGTTAGATAATAGTAATCCGATAGGTCAGATATTTAACCCAGGTCATAATTTGGGTCAATGGATCAATAGGTCATATAGACAATTATAGACAATTATAAAGTTTCTTAAGCAGTTTTCAAATAATTTATTTACAAAAAAACTTATTCAATAAGATTTTACATAGTGGTAAAGTTTTAAATCTAGAACTTTCAACATCAAAATGTAATAACTCTAATAAAAATTAAAGTAATTAAATAAACTTTTTTTTTTTTATATATACTAGTAAAAAAATAAAAATTCAGTATGCTGAATAGCACTATTCTAATGCTATTCAATATGCACTATTCATAACTTTATAGAAAGAGATGTCGAATAGCATTTGAATAGTGCTATTCAGCATATTGAATTTTTTATTTTTAAAAAGAGTTAAAAACATTTATAGCTATTATTATAATTTCTGAAACACCTAATAAAAATTAGTTGAATATTTTTTTGGTAAGTTATAAATTTCGAAAACAGTAGAGGTTGAGATCCTGCAGTCTAGTGGTCTAGGCACCCAACCCTCCACGAGCGAATTTTGGGTTCAAGTCCTAATAAGTATGTTTATCTACGAATATTTGGAAGTATTTGCCATGGGAAGTCCAAGTAAATACAGGTCTGAATTAGAAATTTCTAGAAGGAGGTCTATTGTGGAGTAGTTGGCACTATGTGTAATGGTAGTTGTTACAGAAAGTTCTATTACACAAAGGCTGTGCATGTAAATCTGTGATTAGCAAGGTAGCACCAACAACTCCTAAGGCGGTATTGGAAATCTTGTTTAGAAGGATAACCAGGCGGTAACCAGAATTGGAAAGTAGTGAGAAATGTGATGAACACAAAGGGACCTGTGGTAAAAAATTGGCTTTACCAAATTTGGAACACCTCTGGCGCATACAGAACTCACCGACCAATAAGAAGTTGAAGCATAGAGGCATGTATGTATTGATAGATCTAATAGGCTCTGGTCATACCCATATGGAAGTTTTCGAATATTAAGAGAACTCAGGACTACCAATATGGGTATAGCTAGTATAAGTGAATGCAGTGGTAAGCTACAATTGCCGAGAATCACCATAAATAGAAATGATGACACACCTGTTAAGAATCCCTAGGCCTTATGATCCTATTTAACTATATCAAGTACTGAAAGCATTTGCGAAACATGCCTAGGCAAGTCTCATCACCATATTGAGAAGTACAGTTGTTTGCATATTATCAAATTTGAAATGTTAAGACCTGGGTCTTAAAGTCATAGAAAACCAGCTAGTTATAGCAGCATGCAAGCTTAAGATACTTACCCAATTGGGTAGAAGCAGCTGCATAGCTTGAGATACAAACTCCTGGAAGTATGCTAGTTGGGATCGAGTCACACCAAACTGGGAGCAATAAGTGCCCAACTAGTACACACCAATTTGGAAGTTGAAATATTAGGTATATAAGTAAAGTAGTGAACATATGAATACTAATTGGCAGTTGAGAAGGAATGTATAAAATCCAGGTTAATCACATGTGTGGGAGTGTTGATGGCTCTGGTGAGGTTTAGCTATAAATAAATAGTCTTAGATCTAAAGTCCTAGTCCTAGTTTTTATATATAATATGTATGTATTTTGGCACCATTATATATTAACTTGCTTAAGTATTAATAAAGTCTAGAGCAGGCACTACACCCTAATATTAAAAAAAAAAAAAAAAATTTTCACAGATATATCAGATACATAATTTAATAATATTAGATAACTTATACAGTATATTACAATAAAACTAAATATTAATATGTTCTTGTAAGTCATAAATTTCAATTCCTATTTTTTGGTACAGTTCATTTTGCTTAAACTGAGTCTTTATTCATTTGACAAAAATTTGAGTTTAAAAATTGTGTAAAATTTTAATTTCTATTCTTTAGCAAGATCTATTTTCATTCAAATGAACAAAATCTTTATTATTTTTCATTTCTTGTTGAAAACAAAAAATTAAATTTTAAAAAATTGTATAAAATTTTAACTTTTATTTTTTGGCAAGATCAATTTTCATTCAAATGAAACCTTTATTCATTTCTAATTATTTTCAACAAAAATTCATTTTAAAAAATTGCGCAAAATTTCTTATTTTTTAGCAAGGTCTATTTTCATTTAAATAAAGTTTTTATTTATTTTTAATTATTTTAAATAAAAATTTGTTTTTAAAAAATTGAATTAAATTTTGATTTCTATTCTTTGAAAAGATTTATTTTCATTCAAACAAAGACATTTATTTATTTCTAATTATTTTTTGCTTCTTGTCAAAGACAAAATTTATTTTTAAAAATTTGAAATATCTCTAGAAATGATATTTACAAAGCACCTTTGCTGGTGAATCATTGAAAAAAATTTAAAGAGCTTATTAGTTAAACAAATTGCTAAACATTTAGGTATTAGAAAGTCTTCTAAACCATCTGCTTAAGATGGACAATCTTTAATTTTTAAATCCACTTCATTTAATTTTAAATTCTATTTTTGAACGTTAGTACTAAAATTTTTCAATATATAAATAAATATAATCATATAAAATTTTTTATTTTGATAATTCTTTATGTATTTTAACAAATATTAATAATATCTTAGTCACTTGAAATCCTAATCTGAGATTCATTTTTAAACTAGTTAACAAATTTATAATCATATTTAACTTTTTTAATAACAGCATATGTTTGTGTAATATATTTTTATAAAAGTTTAATTTATATCTGGTCCCTTTTTAAATTTCTTGCTAAGATTTATTGGTTAACACAAGTGGTCTTTTCTATAAATTTTCATATAAACTAAATATATTAAGCATGTTAGATAAGCATTGGAATGAAAATTTAATAATATTGATATTATTGTTATAATAATTGATCATAATACAAAAATAGCTTTTATTATTTTTATTATATAATGGATCATACTGAAGTCACTAACTTAACTGAATTGGCCAAACAATCATCCAGCTAATTTTTATCAGGTATTTCAGGAATTATGATAATAGTAATAGTTATAAAAAATATTTTTTTACTATTCCGAATCTTGACCTATTTAACTCAGGTTAGAGCAATTTCTGACCTATTACCTGTCAGGTTGGGTGACCCGTACAAGTTACCCAACCTGGGTCAGAACACTAATTAGAAAAAGTTAATTATTTTATCCTAGTTTTTTATTACTAAAAAATACTAAACAAGAAAAAAAGTTTATAAATTATATAAAATCTAACTTGTTATATATATAAGAAAACTAAAATATTAGATTTTAATAATACTGAGTATTTCTTATATTATATATTATTAATAGAACTTTAAAGAATTTTAATATAACTTAGATAATACTAAAAAAGAAATTTTGTATAAAAATTCATCAAATATTGCATTAGTAAATTTTTAAATTTTGCTTTATTTAGCTAAAATTATACAAACTTTATACAAACTCAAATTTAAGTTATATCAAATATTGTCTATTCTGTTTATTAAATTTTTTAAAGTTGTAATAAAGTTAGTATGTGATTATCAAAATATAGGGGGAGGTTAGTAGAAATGGGACAAATCTATCTAATAAATTTGTCCCATTTCTACTGACTCCCCCCCATATTTAAAAAATATATACTGTATATACTACAGTATATAATATTGAATTAGATAAAGATACAAAAAGCAATAAAAGACTTAACAAGTGTATATGTTGCCAATATTATATCTAACTATGAAGATAATATAAGTACTGCTAAGATAAGATAAAATTTTGGATCTACAACTTTATTATTCATAAAAAATCTAATTATTTTAAAAAAATATCAAATAATTTTTGTCATTATTCTAATGATTTAAAAATATAGCAACTACTGTGTATATTAAACACTATTGGTATACTGTATTTTAGAAAACTTGTTAATTATACAGTAAAATTAAAAAATTTCTTCAAATTTATAATATACAATAAATACAGTATACAGTATAATATTGTATAATAAATACTATATAGATTACATACAGTATATACTGTATATTAATTTTTTAAACAAAAGCTATAAAATTCTATTAACTTTGCAAATTTAAAAACACTTCTACGTATTAAAATATACTTATACATAATGTTTTACTATCTATGTTGTATTATCTTAAAACTGGCTAATTAATAAATAAACGGTGCTCTAATTAAAAATATTCTATGTCTCTAAAAATCCTTCCCAAATCTAATTCTAACTCCAAATACTACCCCTAACACAAAAATTTGTGCTAAAATTGTATATACAAAACTTAGAAAAAATACTATGTAAAAAACATATTATAGATATAAGTTACATTTTAAAATAAATGTTTTAAGAATTCTTGAGAATTTTATAATGAACTTTATTATCTACCGAAAACTCGGGAATACGAAATCGTAAAAATTTTTGATCATCACTAATCATTGCACAAGTAAAAACCTGTGATATAATTTGTTATTTTTATGAAAAAGTATTTAAGAAAGTCTGATTCTACACACATTTATTATAAAAGAAAGGTGAAGTTTCACATCTATCAAATCGTCAAAACTGCAATAATATACAAATTAACTATGACCACAACATATTGATAAATAAACAACTTTTAATTCTTTATTCGATGACAAAAAAATATCATCCGCATTAACTTGTCTTGTTTAATTAACTATTTTCATTATTTTCCTGTAATTTTAAGCTTATTAATAAGAATGAATCTTCCAATTAATTATGGATAACCTATATAATATCATGCGAAAGTGTTATAATAAGAATAAAAAAATTTCATACACAGAATATGATAAGATAAATTACTTACCAGCAAGTAATGCTTTTTCAGCAAAATATTTAACATCAGTATCCGGGTCATCTCGTAATTTATCTAATGCTGGCTTTACTTGAGTTTCCAGCAACACAGCCGTTTCGGAGCATTGTCTGAGAACTGGTATTAAAACTTCGTATGATTTAGCAACATTAAATCGAATGTTGGGAATAGGATCCGAAACAAGACTGTTCACTGTTGGAAGAATATGGTCTCTAATGACTTCAGGAGTGACGGCTGGAGCCATGGTCTAACGTTGAAGAATGCATATAAAAAAGAATTTGCTAATTTAGAATCAAATGCATATTTTTTCTTAAATTTATAATACTGACCGTGATAGCAAAAATCGTCGTCATTCTATATAAATAATTTTGATTAGTACCCATTTCCAATATTTTTGGTATGATTGTGGTCTTTGCCCATTCGACACCAAAGACTTCAGTCAATTTTTTCAAATTTATAGTAGCCGCTTCGCGAATAGAATATACATTATCTCCTAACCAGGACATGCAAAGACTCCCAAGTTTTTCGTCAAAGAAGGCCACACCCAACTGACTAGCAAGTAGGGGAATATAGTCAATGATTGCAAGGCGAACACGCCATTGTTTATCTTCAGCCAATTCAACTATTGCCGGAAGTAAATTCTGTGATAGAAGCTCAATGCCGATAACTGTTGTCAAAGATATTAAAGAATGAAAAAAAAAAAAGTCAGGAATAAATTTAAATATAAGAGAAAATTTTAAGTGATTACTATACCTTCGTTAACCTGCTCTAATTTGGATATAATATTAAGCCTTACATCGGGGAATTCATCTTTGAGAAGTTGTAAAAACAAAGGCAGTAAATGTTCTGTCGTTCTAAATAATGAAATCGAATGTTAGAAATGAATTTTCAGTCTCAACACGAAAATAAAACATACGCTTCTTTGCCCAAAATAGGTGCCAGCCCGCTAATTTGGGTTGCTAAACTTGCACGAACGTGTTGTGATGTATCAGTTACCAGATCTTTAACACACGGCAGTATATGCGATAAAATTGTCTGTTTATCGATATATTGAGCGAATCCTAAAAATAATTTATTTATCAGAAATAGTAATGATCATGAGTTTAAATAAAAAATTCGTATTTACCCGGAACCTGGCCAGAAGCCGCAGTTCTCACTTCGGCTTCATTATCTTTGAGCAAATTAACGAAGGCCATCACTAAGTTTTCACGCGTTACTTCATCTCCTACAGCTTTAGCAATCTAATTATGTTAATAAAACCGAGAATATAAATTTGTATTCAGAAAAAACTAATTTGTAACATGATACATAAAATGAATAAATAAATAAGTAATATAAACCTTAACAAAGTTTTCAGCAATCATATATCTAACTCTCCAACTTTTATCTGAAACCATGCTTCTTAAAGTTTGTAAGAGATAATTTTTGCATTCTTCCTTAGAGAGTACCTCAGCAATTGCGACAAGATCCTCAACCGTTAGCAAACGCACAGAATCCTGCTCATCTTCAGCAAGTTTGCTGAACAGCGGGACAATATCTAAGATTACATGTTCTTTAGGAATCTTTTTTGCAAATTTCTAAATACATCAAAAAAAAAATTATTTATAGTTATTGTAAAATAAAATAATAAATAAAGAATAAAAAATAAATAAAAAAAAAGTCTGAAATCTTACTCCTAGGTTAGCAGCAGCAGCCCTTCGAACCATTGGTGTATCATCTTGAGCTAATGCTTTAAACATTGATCGCAATTCTTCTTGCGAACTTGGGGTTGCACTTTGGTACCCAGCTGCGTACAAGCCGCAAGCACTAGTGCGACTAGTAAACCAATCACCACTACCCAAACGTTTAATAAGCGGTATATAGTAATCTTCAATTTGTTGTTGAGAAAGGACCGCAGCTATCTTTGTTAAAGATTCAACAGCCTAAAATTTAATTTTAAGCAAATCATTTTAATAAAGTTAATACATCGTGATAGAGAATGAATTATACGAACTTGAGCATACTTTTTCTCTAACAAGAGTTTCTTCAACTGCTGCAAGATTTTCCAAAGGTCCTAGTATAATGTGAGCATGCTCTTTACCACCAACATATTCACAGAAATTACCAAGCTCCTCAGCTAATGCAAGTAGTACTTCATCTTCATCATCGATTGATTCTAAAGTAAAAAAATTAAATATATATATATATATTCATTAAAAATCTTGATCACATTAAAATGGTTTAAAGTTGATCGTTAACATAAAGATTTTTCGCAGATGCACTGCAATTACTCTGAAGAATAAGTCATTATGCTTAATCCTTAAAGGAAGTTACCCCTGACACAAGATAAAGGGTAGTATCGCGTATCATGGAAAAGTATCACGAAAGAGGTTGGTCTTTACTTACCGTCAAGAAATGGTATTAGTTCATCCCTAGTCCTTTGAACGCCCAAAGCCAAAGCAATGGTCGAAAGTCGCCTGATGGCGTTTAATCGAAAGTTGACATCATCAGCTCTCAATTCATCTAATAAAACTGCAATTGGATATAGGCTATCTTCAGTTTCTTCCATATTCATTTTATATAAGAGAATTAAAAGTTATAATAAAACGTTTTATATAGATGAATTTATGAGAGGTACATTAAAATGATGGCCGAAATTTTTTCTTAATTCGACAAAAAATTACAAACTTGAATTGGTTGATGGTCACTAAAAAATCAATTTATATATATTGCACAAAAATTTATTACAAAGTGAATCTTGTTTGTAGAATATACAGTATATTGCACAAAAATTTACTTTATTACAAAGTGAATCTTATCATCTTATCATAACAGCATTCATCATTTAGTCATAACTGTTAATACAGAATTACTGTATTTAAATGATTATTGATTTTGAAAATTAAGGATGTTCAAAAAAAACAAACCACTTTATACTGTACGTACTACAGTATATAATGCAAAAGTAGGTTTCTTTACTAAAATTTCATATATTGCAGGCATTAGAACATCAAATAACATTCAGCACGTTACTAGAATTTTATATGACGTAAAGAGATAGCATACCCCTGACTTTCCTACACTCTTTATATCATTATTCTGTTATTGGTTGTAGATACTTATAACCTCCCTCTCCAAAGCTTTGTATATTTTCTAACTCTAGGTTTGATTTTAGCGAAATAATATAACAATCCAAAAGCTGCACCACCTAAATGACCCGCACTATCTATTTTACCATATGATACATTCCAAGCTCTATAAATATCATAAAGAGCGTATAAACCTACAACCATAATTGCAGGCGCTGGAATTACAAAAAATACAAGAAATGTTGCATTTGGAAATGTACATGCGAATATTGTTGATAATGCCATTAAGCTTCCTGATAAAATAAGATAATGAACAGTTACAAGAGAGAATGATATAAGTGAGTAGAGAATTAAAAAAAAAATAAAAATAAAAATAATAAAAAAAATAATACTATTTAATTTACCTGAAGCGCCCATGCTTCCAATATAATGTCTTCTATAAACTTTTTCATTATGAGACGCGGATGATTTTCTTTTACGAGTGTAAGCAGTATGTAATAGATAACTTAGGGAAGCTGATAAAGCGGACCCAAAATAAATGAACAAGAATTGTCTTCTACCCAACATTTCAAGAATCTTTAAAGAATGTGCGTTATATACATGATAAAATAAAAATGAACCAAAGATTATTGTTGATCATGACTAAAAAATAAATAGAAATCTTTTCACACACCTGTTTACCAAACCCCCACAAAACAAACATATTCACAATCAAATGATCCAAATCTTTATGACTAAAAGCGCAAGTTATAACACTCCACCACCTCCCATCTTTCACATTCTCAATACTGACAACAAAATTTCTTGATAGGAAATTCAAGTAAGTAGGATTCCTGTATTCAACAGCATTCATTTCGGCTAGTCTCCAAGAAAGAAAAACTAGTATATTGGAAGCAATTATGTAATGAATCATAAGATCTTCTGAACCATAGTTCTTGAATAGATGAAAATGTTTCAAGGACCTTCCATAGAATGGATTTTTAAAACTTGTCAAAGAGGTTTTAAAGATACGCGGATGGTTTGTAAGATAAGATATTGTTGGAGAACGAAAGAATTTATTTGTATGTTGTGATAACGTTGTAATCGAACAATATCGAGACAATCCGATAGAAATTCTACCACCTAATTGGTGTCGAAGTAAAAAAGACGATAACCCAAAAATGGTTTGGGTATTGATATGAGTATTTATAAATTTAAATTTCATATTGTTTATTTTGTTGACGTTCCTAAGCTGCGCGTGGTTAAAATGTGGTGCAGAATTATTTAAAGGTCTAAGAATAGAGGTACTAAATTTAGTTATACATTTCATCATGCAACACTTATGAACTAATTTAATTTATCGAAGACAATATGACTTTTAAACTTTCAATAGCGAACCAACAATACGAAATAGATCATAATATTAAAGTTAAAAAAGATGTGTGTGTAGATAATCAACAAACATTGATATATTGTTATTACTAAATTAGTTTTATAGGTAAATTAAACTAGACAATATAGTGATTGTCTATCACGTGCCTTATAAATAACGTTTATCGTTATTGAATTTTTGGTTTATAAATTAAGATGTTTTTCACTTTAAATTTTAAAATTATCCCAAAACTTTATTTTTTCTCAACAACAAATTCAATAACGCAACGATGGTACCAGCATCCAACTTGATTAGCAGCGCTAATCCGCTCACTCATGCTCTAGTTCTTCAGTTCTTAGAATCAAACAATTATAAGAATACCTTAGCGGAATTCCGTAAAGAGGCTAATGAAATTATCGAAAATAATCCAAAATTATTTGATGAATTGCCTTCTAAACCCTTGACCGCGATCGTACAAGATTATATTTTAGAGGAAGTGAGAAATGAAGTTGAGAAACTAGATTTGGTTAAAAGGTAAGAAGTGAATATTAATTAATAACTGATAATATTAATTAATATAATTAATATTACGTGTTTATAGTTTATCGTGACTAATTATTTCAAAATTAAAAAATTACAGCAAAATAGACGATGATTTATATACTCCTGAAACTACTATATATCCTCGTTACATCTGCGAAACGTTCTCCCAAATTCACAGTTCAAACATTCTCACTGTTCGTACTCAAAATATTCTACTCACAAATTATAATGATAATGACTTTGAAACCGTTTCCATTCCCATGATAATCACCGGTTCAGCTGATAAATCCATAAAATTCACTTCTTTACTTACCGGGGATATACATAATGTTTGTGATGTTCACAAGGGTGGAGTTCTTGCTATTGATTTTCATCCCATTTATACAAATGTTATGTTGAGCGCTTCAATGGACGGTAGCGTCGCGTTAATTGATTCTTCTACTATGGAAGTTAAACAAATGTTTAAAGATCATAATAAATCTGTTGTTAGAGCAAAGTTTTCACCGGATGGCGCTATGTTCTTTACTGCGAGTTATGATCATACTTTGAATATTTATAGTCTCGGCAGTTCTTCAACACCTACACGTCTTTATTCAATGCAGACTTCTCCACTATTGCCCACAACTCCTTCAACTCCACTTACACCATCCACTCCACTTCCTCAGTTTTCTAAAATACACACTATGACCTTTGAATCAAACATAGAATCTCTTTGTATTCTTCCAGATTCAAGTTACTTAATCGTGGGAATTCGTGATTCTAATTATCTTCACTACGTTAATCTTCAAAATACTAAATCTAAACCTCAATATTTTCATTATTTTGAAATCACGAAACACAATATGAATGCAAATGGTGATGACTGGGTATCATTTACAGCTATGGACATTATCGCTAGTCCCAATAATGGTGGTAAATACTTATTAGTCGCAACCGATGATGAAAATGGCAGAATCATCATGTTTAAAACATTTAATACAACCAATTATGATGAGGGTGTTACGTCTTCAACTTTGATCCAATTAGCAAACTTTTATGACATACCTTCACCAGAATCGTCCCCTATCTCTTCATCCCCATCGATCCCTGTAGCAACTGATTTCTCTCGAAAATTCACAAATCCGAGATTACTCTGGCATTCATCAGGAAAATATTTTTATGCTTGTGGAGTAGATGCTTATCCACGTGTCTACTCAATTGAATCCAAAAGATTAGTTGAAAAATTAAAAGGCCATGCTTGTAATAATGATGATTCAAAAATGTGTAATTCTGAATCTGACAATGATAAATTAAGCGGACACTCTGATGTTGTGCGTGGAATGTGGTACGATGAAGAGAGAGATTTGTTGATTACCTGTGGTTTTGATAAGAGTGTGAAAATTTGGGGAAGTGATGAATTGTGCAGAGAATTGATGAAAGACTTGAAAGAAGGAGGAGAGCAAAAGAGAATTTTGTTTATGAGAAGGAATACCATTGTTTAGTGAAATGTAAATTATCTTATCACTTATAAATCACTTGCCATTATCGTGATTATACTAAACATCTTTTAAATTAATATAAATAATAGTATAAGTGTCCATAAGTATCACGAAAAATATAGGGTTAATATAATGTTAATTAGATAAAGTTTTATTTCATCTAATTCGTGCTGCATAAATATTAATACTTTAATAAAAAATTTATTATTCTCACATTATATAATAATTTTTGTACAGTACAATGAAAAAATTTTATATAATGAAATTTATTTTTAAATAATATAATGAATTCTCAAAATTATAGTATATAAAGGCTTATTAATACTACTACTATATGCATTATTATATGCATTATTATAGCTGAGTAGTTTAAAAAATTTCATTTTTTTAAAACACCAACACTACAACCATCTTCCTCGCCAAAGTATGCAATTTCTGCCGTCCCGACGAATAATCCAACTTCTACAACACCAGTCAACAATTTAATTCGTTTTAAAACTTCTGAAGGTGAATTAATAAACGTAAGATTATCATCTCCAAGAAATTGTTGTCCATTCAATTTACCAAAATATGCATCTACAACAAAATTTCCATTATCTGTAATAATAGGTCCTGCTTTATTTTTTGCCATACGAAGATTAAAATTTTGACAACCTAAGAGTTTAAGAGAGTTAAGGACTAAGGTGTAACAGAATGGAATTACTTCTATTGGAATGCCTTTGATCCACTATTATATATTAATCCCAATATTAATCAAAAATTAATCAAAAAAAAATAAGTGTATTTTTATTAAAAATATAAAAGAAATACCTTTTCGCCAAGAACAGTAGATCTTTTAGTATAATCTGCAACAATTATAAATTTTTTGGAAATTTCTGCTACAACTTTTTCTCGTAAATGACAAGCACCACCACCTTTAATTGCATTTAAATTTTCATCAACCTATTATTAGGTTAATTATGCATATAAAAAATTGTAATCAATTAACGTATATAATGTGCACATAAATATGCATATATAAAATAAAACTGACTTCATCAGCGCCATCAATTGTGATATCAATTTCTTGGTATCTAAAGAACATAAAGTGATGAAACCTTTTAACTTTCAATAAAACTAAAGCTATTAGAAAAAATAATTTCACAAACTGATCAATTTCTCCCAAATTTAATCCATTATTGATAATTAATATTCTACTTTGAAAACTTGTTGGTATAAAAACACACTGATTTAAATCTAATTCCTCCAACTTTTGGTCCGAGTTCTCGTTTTTTTCACCTGACTTGTCATTCTTTTTAAAGTTTCCTCTTTGTACAATACGTTCAACAACAAAAACAACGGTTGAACCTGATCCAATCCCAATTATTCTTGTATCAGCATTCAAATGTTTATCAACTGCCTCATAAGCCGCCTGGCGTTTTGAATTTGTTACTGACATTTTTTTTATTTTTTGTAAAGAGAAATGGTAACAGTATGAAAAGTTTAGCTAAAGCTTGAATAGGCCAAACAAATAGTGCAACATTAGCCTCATATACATACGTTACGTATTTGAGGCACGGAAATAAAAACTACCTAAAACTACCTATGTATGGAATACCAAAAGCAATCGCTTTTCTGAGGAAGATTTACCGGGCCATTTCCCCGGCGTGACGTTTGAATCTTGTAATATTAATCTTTAGTTACAAATTTTTTTCGACTTTTATTAATTGTTCAAATAACTAAATTTGTAAACGAAAATGAATACAAAACTAAAAATAGTTCTAATTCAATATTGCTCTGCTCTGAATACATAATAAATTTTGACAAATAAAACGTAATTTAGTCTAAAATTATCAAATTCTTAAATATTTACATGATGTATTAATAAATTCCAGGAATAAAGATGTAAGGAACCTGCTTACAATACTCTTCCCAATCTTTCCCATACTTTTTAGCACATCTTTCCATATCTCTAGAGACCCTGTGTGTTAACACAGCTACAAAAAATACTGGATAAAAATACGGAATGACAGTATTAAATCCAGTAATAAACCCCCAGGCAAAAGCCATCATCAAATCGGCTGTATAATGAATCTTACGTGCAATTCCCCACCATCCACTTGTCAATAACAAGTTTCCAGATTTTGTTTTTATATAAGTTGGATTTTTCAGTGTTCCCCATGGAAGTTGTGGGAACGTGTATCTCGGAATATAACTACCATTAATTATCATTCTAAATCGATTTTTCTGCGAATTAGCCGTATCCCTGTTACATTAGTAAGATATAAAATATATGCGTTAAGAATTGAAGATTTGATATTTATCCTACTACTACTATTATTATTATTATTCAATCACGCTATAACGAGTGAAGAAATTAATTGCTTACCAAATATAATAGGCTAATAATAACAATGTATAACAAAAGTAGGTCCAAAATTGTGAATGTTGTATAGGTTGTTTATAATCAATGCTATTATTGTGAAGATAAATCGTTGCATAGCAATATGTAAAAGGCACTACAAGCATCAAAATGTAATCAATTTACCAGTCAAAAGAAAGAAAATAATATAAATTATAAACATTTATATAAATATTTTATACCTCCTGCAAAATTCCAAAAAATTAACATAAATCCAAACTACGAATAATAGAATTGAGGGTGAATAACTCTGAAACAAATGGTTTACCGACAATTACCCGACAGCCACTTCCCCGACAACTATTTTCACGACAAATTTTTCCCACCATAACGAAAACATGACGTGGTTGTTTGAGAAATGGTCATGCCGGGGAAGTGACTGTCGGTGAAATGGTTGTCGGGAAAATGGTTATGGCGAGGAAATATTTTTCGGGAAAATAGTTGTCGGGAAGTGATTGCCGGGTAATTATCGGTAAACCGAAACAAATTATGATTTACAATATTTATATGTAAATACCTTTTCATAAGTCATATCCCAAGTAGTTGGAATGCATTCTTCACCTTTTGCACAAGCATTCACATACAAGAAATGTGCAAGAACCATAAATGCCATAGATGCAGAAACATAACCAAATAACTCATATTCTTTAATTGCGGCCGAGATAGAAATATAAAATAAAAGAACCTGTACACATAATGAACATAATGAACATAATAACAATAAACAAAGAAAAAGTAATCAATATTTGGTACTTGAACAGATTAATTTTTAGTAGTTATATGATTAAAAATAACTACCCAAGGTATGCGAATTTCTGCAAACATCTTAAGGTCTACATGTCCAAGACGCGGATTCAAAACAGCGCCCATGAAGAGGTCATACATTAAATATCCTGACATACGATACTGATTTCCTTGCATAATAGTAGTAAAATATATGACCAAGGTGATAACGACACCAGAAACTACTGCAACAGACATCAATGGACCAAAGTTATCAATGATTTCTGTGAGACGGAACCATCCATAATAGTGTAGAATAAGTGAAGTAACAATAGTGGCGTACCAAGAGGTCACGCCATTACAAAGATAGTCCAATCTCTTGCCTTTCAAAGAAGAGACAGGTGCACCCTTGACAATCGGACCAGGCATAAAGTAGGCCAAGAATAATTCGAAGAGGCAGAACAATACATACATTTTGGTTGCATACCAAGTAGGAAAAGCACCTTTGAAAATTTGATTCCAAAATTGAATGTCAAAGGGTGATACTAACTTTCCACGATAAAATTGCAGACAACCCCATAAGTAATACATTAGAGTTGGGAATCCAATCATCATAGCAGTGACTCCCCAAGGACCACCAAATTCAAAAACGATTTCTGAATCTATTTTTTCATAATGTTTATTAAATGTGGGTGTATTAACTTTGGGACTCTTATCATTATCACTTTCAGCACTTTTTGGAGCTTGTTTTTTTGCCATTTACTCGATTTAATAATACGAATGCGTTAAAACGTGAAAATGGTGCATGATTTAAAAAACTTTCTAATGTAACTAAATATTCTCGGTCGAACATAGATGATCGATAGATAAATTAATCGTCACCGTTTATCCATTAGTACTGATTAAGGTTGGATCGGATGAACCAATTAGCCTAATTAACTTTTCTTAGATTTGTGGGATGTAACTTAACACGCACGTATTTATTATTTTTTATTTACAAGGTAGACAGGCTACGTATTAGTATTTGAGTGTTTATTATTATTATATTGACTGGTTAATAACAATGTGGCAGATATCAAGACGCTGTAAGTTCTTCGCTGTGGACAAAAATGTAATAATGATAATAAAGGATGGTAAAAAAAAAAAAGTTGTATTTTTTCATCAGGATGATGGAATGATAATCGTTGCTGAGCGAATTAATTTGTTGAACGTTCGAATGCCAAGAGAAGAGAAAGTGAGACTTTGGGCTTTCAAATTTATCATTAATTAATTATTGGATTCAGCCCATGAAAAATCTGATTGGTGATATATATATATATATGATATGTAATTATGTTACCATCAGATTTTTAAAGGGCTGAATTCGATAAATAAAATCGAAAGCTCGAAGTCTCATTTTCTCTTGGCAGCACCCATATAACCATAAGCGTACTAATATTTATTATTTAAGGGAATTACTATTTTCCACCATCCATAAAATGATTTAAAGTTGCAAATTCATAGTGCGAAAACGGAATTTAAAATTTTGCCAATCAAGGTATATCCTTGACAAATTGTACTGTATAATGCCGGTAATATATATATGGAAATTTAATAAATCACATGGAATTAGAGTTGTATCCGTTTGCTATTGAAATCTGACAGATATTCGGATAATTATCCGGATATCAATAGTAAATTGGATAGTAAATAGATATCGAATAAATTCAGATCCGGATATCTAACCGGATTGGAATGGAATCGATAAAAATAGCAAAGTCATATAGCGATAGTATCTTTTCGATCCGTCCTAAGAGGATTGGATTGGCTTGATTCTTGAATGAACAGCCCGAACTGCAAATCAAATTCCCATTTTTCAGCGGTCCTGTTGGTCACAGAAGTACAGTCAAACCTCTATAATTGCACCCCCCCCCCCCTCGGGACCATAGGACAAATTTTTAAAAACTGTTCATTTAGGGAGGGCGTACATATAGGGAGGGCGTACATATAGGGGAGATAGGGGAGTGGGTGCATTTATGGAGTGCAATTATAGAGGTCTGACTGTAATCAGATGATGTACTTCGTCATAGTGCGACCAACACTCTTCTCAAAATCTATGAAACTGTCTTTCGTGTTCTACGTAACAAAATCATTTTTCTTGATAATTATGCTACACCAGATTATATTGCGTAATCGATGATCAGTAGTAATTTTAACCCTATATATCAGTATATTAAGAAGTTACATTTGCATTCATATGACAATGCATAAAGTTTAAATCTTGATTGGCCAAAGCCTGTCGGATTATAATCTTGGAATTGTGTTTCGTCATAATTCTGTTCCAAGCCCCACATTTGTACTTAACAGAGCGATACTTCTTGATGACGATTCTAGAAAATTAGATAATCTCGTTGATTTCTATATTAGCCAATTTATGATTTTTTTTTATCATGTTTCTACTGTTGTTTTTTTGTTGCCAAGTACTATACGTTGGGGTATTCAATGTACGTACATTTATGTACAGATGAATAGACAATTTTTGTGTAACTATCACGATCGTTAATAAAATATGGGCGTACAATACTATGACCTTTCTAACCTTAAATACAGCTATAAGGGCACTGTCATCACCGGCGACAAATAGATTATTTTCAAAAAATTTTTTAAAAAGCTCTCTTAAAATATAAGTACTACTGAGCAATCGAGTAATTTACAGAGGAGGTACAATTTGAAGTTTAAAAATCTTATGAAACGAATTATCAAATTTCAAACTGTATCTCCTCTCTAAATTACATATTAACTAGCTTAAAAAATTACTCAACAGAACCTGTATTTTAAACTAAAAGAGCGTTTTTTTATTAATTTTAAGAATATTATTGCAGATCATTTTTTCATGTGAGAATCGGAGATTTTATAGATTTTTTGAGATTTTAAGAATTTTGATTCTAATGAAATTGTGTATAGATTTGATTTACATACAGTACGTAGTACATCGAACACCCTATGTATTGGCCAGTGCGAAAAGATAGATACCTCAAAACTATAATTAAAAAGTACTACTAATAAAAGTTTTTAAATTATTA